GGCGCCGCTGCGTTCCTGCGGACCGCGCCTTCGCCCGCGGGGGCCCCTGAGGTGCTTCCTACCGGAAACTGGAAAAGGGACCTGCAAGTACAGGCGAAGGGAAGACGCAGTCGGGGCTGGAGGTTAAAGCTCTGGCCGGTGGGGAGGAGCAGAAAATTCCAGATGACATGAACTGGAGCTAGACCTTGCTAGACAAATTAGTGAAACGCTCCAGAATAACGACGTCCTAGGCTGAAGAATTCCCTTGCACAGTGACTAACTCCAAAAGGAAATTCAAGAAACTGGGCAGCACCAAAAACGTATAAAGGGCAAAGACTTCCAGGTTTGGAGGAATTGGGGATTTTATAATAATTACTGGAACTTATAAGTACGAATTCTTACTTTGTATTTCAATGAAATGCATGTTTCATTTCCTGTTGGAAACCATTGTCGCTGAACGAGTTTATAGACAGACCAGCAGCGTTCGTATCCCCTGGAGATTTGTTAGAAATACAGAATTCCAGGGTCTGTTCCTCCTGTTCAAAATCGGAATCTGCATTTGAACAAGATCACGTGAAAGTGTGGAAAAGCATGATAAAGGACAGGTACAGATTTAATTCTTCTTCTGCCTGCAACTTGCTCAGAGTCAGCTTTTCGTAAACATTCACAGAATGACAGGCACCTGAATACTATTTACCACATTTCTTACAAGGTGTGCTGGTCAGGCATAGTGATGGGGAAAAGGCCACCCCTTCTGAGTGTACAGCTCTTATTTGTTGAAAAGTTTATTTTTATATTATGGAGTTGAAACCACTCAAGTCTAACATCCATTATTCTCTAATTACAACGCTTGTTCTTAACCAAAGACAGTCTGCAGGAAAAGTGTCGAATTTTACAACTTTTTCTCACCCCACCAAATTCTTGACTGCCTGGGTACCTCCTTTTTGGTTATCTTTACCTTTCCCCTTCTCCCATCCCCAGTTCTTTCATCTTTACCAAGGACCCTGAAGCGGGTCTTACTGCTTCTATTTCCAGAACACACACACACACACACACACACACACACACACACACACAAAGAGAGAAGAAAATGAGAAGCAAGTGAAGACCCTATCACAAAAAATAAACGGTCCTCACTAAAAGGGGAGTAAACAGATCTGTAAATAAATGAAATCTTCAGTAAATACAGGGGAATAAACAGCTCTGTAATTACAACGGAGGTGATGGAGGCTTCAGAGGAGCTGGGGAATTTGAGATAGCAAAGAGGAAAAGTGTTGAGGATGTAGGTAGCGTGAGAATCAGGAAAATGTGACAAATGGTGGAGAAACAAGACCACCCGAGCAGGCTAGTAGAAGGCAACGAGGCAGAAGAAACTGGTCACCTGGGTGCAGGTTGACTGAAGGCGAGCAAGTCATCAGTGGCAAATAAAAAAAGCAAGGAGCTTTATTGGGGATGGTAGGAGCAAATATTTGCAGGCAGGGTCCATGCAGTGGTCAAGGCAGATGTATGGGTTGTTATCAGGTGTTTTGGCGCGGGGAAGATGTGCTATACTTTGCAGTCTCTACTCTTTTCTGTAATATCCCATTCGGTGTTCTGTCTGCCTGGAGAGGGCACAGCCCATATCTGTAGTGTTTTGTGGAGTACTGCAGTTTTTTGTATCTGTAGATTGGAATTAAACAACACATTCATGGTCATGGCCAGATCAAACTTGACAGAAAACATGTACCCCACTTTCTTTGTTGTGTTAAGACTTTGACTTTCTAAATCGTGTGTTTGGTTGAAGAAATAATTTACAGATAATTTACAGACACTTGTGTTTTAGTCTGTAAAGGAATATCAGCAATATCAAACTGAATCAGATCAATGGTCTAGTCCAAAATAGTTTTTGGAGAATAAGTTTACCATGCAGACATTTCAAAATGTGAAACACTCCTTAATCTCCTTAGTCATTTTTTATGAAAGTATTCACTATTTGATTTAATCCTTTAAAAACTCAATCATTCTGGGTGTGGTGGCACACACTTATAATCCCAGTACTTGGGAGGCCGAGGCAGGAGGATCACTGTGAGTTTGAGCCTGGGCTACATACATAGTGAGTTCAAGGCCAGCCTGAGCTGCACATCAAGACCCTGTCTCAAAAAAGTAAATAAAAATGAAAAATAAAAATGCAATCGTATTTTTACTTTCCACGTAAATGTGTTTATTCAATTAATCATTGATTTACTGGGGTTTTACTATGTTCCCGGCACTACATGAGGCAGGAGGAACCAATCTGCCTCCAAGGGGTTTATTTAGAGAGGAAACAAGTAAGAGGCCTTGTTATTATACAGTATTTAAGGATATTGATCACAGATAATTGAGAAACACTGTAGGTATAATGAGAGCACAAACACAGGTCACAGAGTTCACATTGGGGATCAGGAAGCTATGCCCAGAAGAGGTAACAGGTGAACTAATTTTGAAGATGATGTAGTGTTATTCAGTGGGCAGGTGGAGAATTTACCAAGAGTACTGCACAAGACTAAGTATAGATCATGGGGAAAAATGGAACTTTTGGGAAATTCCAAGTAGGCAGTCTGGGGAACATTTATATGCTGTATTGCTATTAGCTAAAGTAATGAGATACAGACTCGGTATTAAACACAGTAATAGTACCTTATTTTGTTGCTTTTTGGGTACTGGGGATTGAACTCAGGTCCTTGTGCTTACGAGGCAGGCAGTGGAACCACTGAGTTAAATCCCTGGCACCTTATTTTTGTATGTGCTTTCCCTTGACATCCACAAGTCTTGCTACTCACTTAATGTGCTTAGTTAGCTACAAGAAAGAACTTTTCTATGCGATTGTAAGGAGCTGTGTTCTGACCTGTATCACCATTCCGTCCCCTCAACCCCTGTCACCACCTTTACAGGTACAGTCTATGTTTATGTAGCAAAGGAAGTAACACTGCTATAGTAAGTTATATTATGCTTTATTAGATCAATTGAATTTGAGAGTGAATCAGTGAAACAGTAATTAAAATGAATGTACTATAAACAATATTGTTCTCCCTCTGAGAAAATTCCACTAGACTGTGGTTCTGATTTAATTCCTGAACCAAAAGAATACATTTTAAAAAATAATTTTCAATTTTAGAATAGTTTTAAGAAAATTTATTTTTTGGTGTGGTGGTACACACCTGTGATCCCAGAACTCTGGGAAGCTAAGGCAGGAGGATTGCAAGTGTGAGCCCACCCTGGGAAACTAGCAACTTAGCAAAACCGTGTCTCAAAATTGAGGGAAGGAAGGAAAGAAGGAAGGGCTATGGATGTAGTTCAATGAGAAGGAACTGGATTCAAACCTGGGTACTGTTAAAAAAAAAAAAGCTGCAAAAATAGTACCAAGTTCCTGCATACCCCATGCCCAATTACTCTTTTGTTAACAGTTTAGTGTTGTACATTTGTCACAACCAATAAAATAATAAATATTCCCCTAATTTTTACTCAGTATTCTTTTTCTGTTCCAATGTTATGGAAAGAATCACTAAGTGACACACAGACAACAGAATGGAAGTAAAATAACAAGTTTACTCATCAACGAGGGTCAATCCAGGCAGTTTATGTGCGATCCACCCTTGTCGATTAGTAAATTTGTTATTTTATTTCCATTCTGCAGCCGCTCTGTGTCACTTACTGATTCCTCCCGTAACATTAGGATACATTACATTTAGATGGCATATCTCCTGAGACTTATATTATGACAATATGTAAGACTTGTTTTTGGTGACCTCAACAGTTTTGAGGTACTCAGGTATTTTGTAAAGTACTCCTCAACTTGAGATTGTCCAGTTCTTTTCTTCCTGGTAAGATGGGCTTATGGTTTTGGAGAGGAATACCACAAAGGTAAAATGACCTCATTATAGCCTATCAAAGGTACATACCTTTAACATGATTATCACTATTAATGTTAATCTTAATCACCTACATGAGGTAGTGTTTGTCAGATTCCTCTGCTACAGAGTTATTTTTCTTGCTTCCCATATTGCAATTTTTGGAAGGAGATCAACCTGTGCAGCTTACTTAAGAAAGTGAGAGTTAATTTTCACTTCCTTGAAGGGAGAATATCTATAAAAATTATTTAGAGTTCTGAATGGGAGTTTTGTCTGTCCATCTCATTTATTAATTTATTCAGCCATTTACATCAATACGGGTTCAGGTTTTTTATGTTTCATGTTATAGTCCAATACTAGGTTATTTATTTTATTGCTCACATTTTTTCCAATTTGGCCATTGTAATCACTTTCTGATGGCTTCTGTGTCACTTTGACACGTTATTCAATTTGTGTTTTAGTAATTCCTCACTCCCTGGTACGAGAATACTTGTTTTTGTTTTGGTTTGGTTTTGGTAAGCAGGTTTAATATAATTGGAGAAGATGATATCAATTTTAATATAATTTAAAAGCAGAATATGTACATTAATAAATATTAGTGCAAATCCAACTTTAAGCCTTTGTATCTTGAATTGTTTTGAGTTAACAAAGTATTATCCTACTTACATCTTACCTTCAGCTTGGTTTAGAAATCAACCAGTGAATTTTTTTGTAACTTTACACATAAGTAAAATATGACAGTCTAGTCAATTTAAATTTACCCACTTTAAGAGCCAGGGATTTAGCTAAGTGGTGCTGTGCCTGCCTCGCAAGCACAAGATCCTGAGTTCAATCCCCAGTACCAAACAATAAATAAATTTAAAGAGAACACTGGGGAAATAAGTAGGAATTACAATATATAATTAGAGGACTGTTAATTGAGTACATTTCTATCCCACCAGAGAGGCAAACTTATAGCATAAATGAAAAATTTAAAAAGAAGCAAGAGATCTTCAGTTTACTTTTGAATGAGAATAATCTGTAGATAAAAAAAATACTAGAGCCCTTTTATTTTTATTTATTTTCTGGGTACTGGGGATTTAACTTGGGACCTTGTTGTGCTTGTGAGGCAGGCACGGTGCCACTGAGCTAAATCTCTGGTCCACTAGAGCCCTTTTAATAGATGCCCAACTCAGATTTACAAAGATTAGGAAAGTAATACCAATCCTTAATTCTCCTCTTCTCAAAGAGTAAATTGGGTGAAATGGTGGCAGTTGTCCAAACATTTATATGATTAGGAAGAAGCTTTAGTTCTCATATTTGTAGTTATCTTAAGTATATATTAGTCTAATGTTCTTTCAGTTGTTCAAATTTATTTTGATGGTGAAGTAATTGGCAGCAATAAAAAAACTTACAAACATATTACACAACAGCTATTTATGAACATACGCCTGACTGGTACTTCCAGTACCTATCTTCCTGGGACTCAGGGTGCCTGAACACTGACATTTACGTCACTTCTCCATGAACCCAGAAGAGAGCGAAACTTCACAGATGAGGATACACAGGCAGCAATATTGGGATGAAAACCTAAGTCCCTGCTTTTTATTTCATTTGCTCTGAACTTCTCTGTATAAGCAAAATACCCTTATATTTAGTTAATATCACTCCTAATTTAAGACATAAGTGACTTTTTTAAAAAACTTAGATTCTATTTATAGGAAGAGGAGAGTTAGGGGAAACAAGTCACATTTTTAGCTTACACCACCAACAGTTAGCAGCCAATTTCTTTTGGTGGGGGTAGTGGGGATTGAACTCTGGACCTTGCACTTTCAAAGCAGGCATGGTGCCACTGAGCTAAATCCCAGCCCAGCAGCCACTTATTTTATAAACTAAAGTCTTGTTGGATCCTAATATGGAAACTAAGATTTTTAAAAAATAGCTAATTTAAAATTTTTATATATCTCAACCAAGTAGAATTTATTGGTAGTGCTAAATTATTCAAATGATCTATCAGTCAGAAGTGGAAAGTACTTACTTTATTAAGAAAATAAAGATAGATTCCTTAAGGAAAGGAAGAAAACTGACCAATTATCAGGTATATTAATGAATAGCAAGTAAAATCTCTGAGGTATATTTATATGTCTTATCTATACAACCATAGTAAGACTAATACTGTATCTCATAATTCAGAAAATGTACATTTAGTTACAGTATTAGTAAAAAATTGAGCTTCTAATAGGAAACCAAACTCTATGAGAACAAGAGTTACACAATAATTTCTTATAGACGCTGACTTAGGGTCACTATCATATTTAATAAGGAGATGACTAAAAATATCTGAGCACATAGTCTAGATATTACTAGAATGAAAAAAAAAAAGATCAAGAGAGGAATGGAAATTAAGTCCATTCAAATAAACCTAGATTTTACTGTAGGGAAAAGATTAATGCTTTTGAAAGAGAAATGAAAGATTTCTAGGCAATATGAAGCTTAGAGTTGGTTGGTTCTAAAGGCATCTCTAGAACAAGCTTCCCAGTGAAATCTAGGGCACTGACAATGGAACATCTAAATAGAAGCCATAATTATAGCAAAGAAAACGACAGCTAGCACAAACCGGCCCATTGTCACTGCTGAAATCATGGACTTGCTCTTTTCAGTTACTCTTGTCTGCAGAGGCTTCCTGATACGATCTTCTGTGGTTAAGATAGTTTTTCGAGCCCCTTCCCACTTTCCAGGGCCCTGAAGACGGTAGTGGACTGGAGTACAGGGACCAGTGAATAAGTGTAAGGCCAGCTTGGGATCAGTGAAGGTCAGAGGGAGCAGCTTGGGCCTGACTCCCACCAAATCAGCAAGCTCTTCCATTGTTTCTACATAGTCTCCCTGAATGGTATGGCGTTGGCTGTCCACATACCTGAAGTAAAGAAGACAGAAGCTATGGTCTGTCAACAGTTCAATTAATCAACCGGTCCATTCATCAGTCCATGCTTTCTGAGTGCTTGTTATTGGCTTGATATTGGGCTAGGCATTGTACAAAGTGGTGAAGAAAGATAAGACACTGTCACCATCCTTACAGATCTTCTGATCGACTATAGGAGACAAGACTGATATGCATGAAACAGGGAAGGTTATTTCAGGCTTTGACTGCTAAATAGAAATGTAGAGAGGGTGGTTAAAAGAGGGATATCATATTAGGTCCTTGAAGGATGTGAAAGTTGCAGATCAGATGAGCCACAGGGTAAAGAGAAATGTAGGAGTGGCACAGAATATATGCATGGAATGTTTGTGGGCATTGCCTTACACTTATGGAAAACATGAATGTATGTAGTGTCAGACATAGCCTGCCAAGATCCGGAGAACTCTTTGTGAAGAGAAAACTCACCACAGAAATTCTCAAGTGTGGGATTCTTTATTATTTTATGAGGCCAATGGTGGCAGGGTCTAAATGGCAGTATTATAGGCAGCTAAATTAGATAGAATTTAATATACAGTCAAAGAGGGACTGGGGTCTCAAGGAAGTCAGTGAAAACTATAGACATCAAAATTGTGGCTGGAGGCACGTCTAAAGAAGGCCAGGCCCGCATGCCTCCCTGAGGGATAAAAAATAACTTGAGAGTGTACTCTAATTAGCACCACCTGGTCCTGGAAGTCCAGCTAGGTATCAGTCGCCCCAGTGGGTGACCAGAGTACCTGGACCCATCTCTTCCCAAAGACATTTGTTCTTTCCACCCTTGCTACATGACTCTTTCCCTATTGGATCAAGGTTAGCTAAGCAGCTATACTTATAAACAGTTTACCCTGGGCATTAGTCAGAGCAGGTATTGTTTACATACTAACCCACTCATGGCTGGGGCAGGTGTCATTTTAACCAGTCCTTGTTTGTACGAGATGCACTCCTATGTCTGTTTATTTGTTTTACATCAACTTCTTTTGTTTTATATAAAATATTTTATTTAGATTATTGTATTTGCCCTGGATGTCTGTTTCTAGTGAAATCTAATAATAAGTTCTGGTTATTTTCTTTTACTAATTTGTATTTATTTTATTTGTGAAAAACAGCCTATAACCTATAGTCTATAAAAGCTTTTATTGTAAGTATATTAGCTATAATTTTATACTTCTCCAGAACTCAGTAATACTCTTTTACAATATGAAATGGACATGTTTGGGAGATTGAGACTGAACATGAAGGAAGTGCCAAAAGATCTGCAAAAGAGAAAATGAAAAATGGAGAAATGTTAGCACAGTAGAGAAGAAAACTCTGTTATGAAACGGAAAAACGAAAAGATGCATCCTCATTGTCAACTATTCATAATATAGCTTGCTTCAGCAGCACATATACATAATACAGAAATGATAGAACTTGAAAGAAGAAATTAATTTTTTAAAATTCCAACCGTGATCAATGATTATAATAATTCCATGGGTGGCACTGACAACATTGACCAACATCTGACAAGCTATCCTGTAATCAAAAAGCGAGGAAAAAAATATTATAAAGTATTTATGCACCTTCTGCATACTTCAAAAAGTAATTTACAATTTAGATTAGGTCTAATAGACCAAACAGTTGAAAAAGATGGGCTAGCAAAAGGCCAACCAGGATGTCTATGATTAAGGTCTTCACCATTATGTTTTGTGTAGATATTTTACTGAAATTGTGTCACCCACAGAAAAAAAGGTCAATGTGATAGTGTAAAGTGTGTTGTTCAAAGAAAGGCAATAACGCAAAAAGAAGTCAGAGACTAGATACTGCTACTCAGATTGTAACACTGTTGTGCATTGAATGTTTTAAGATACACACAAAAATTATTGAATAAATTTGATAAAATTGCCATTTTTATACTTCCTGTTATACTATCCTATAAAAATTAATGAAAAATGTCTAACTGCATTTAAATGTCATTCTGCATTTAAATAATTGGACTGGTAAGTGGATAATCCTATAGGTTGGTTATAGTTTGATTATGGCTTGATCCATGGTCCTCACATTACAACTTAGTGAGATAAATGAGCCCCAAGAAAGGCCCTTGGTGGCAACCCACTTTCGGGACACCTCCTGTCTCTCAAGAGCTATCTCTTAATAAACCTTTCCTACTCTTAACCTTCACTGTCCCTTGATATTCATTCTTTGATATTTGGGGAACACAAAATTGGCACATCTGAGATCTAGCAGTTTAGGAGTTGTATTTTTCCTGTATCAGCAGGGCTTCCCAGCATCACTGTTAATTTGGAATCCTGAAAGGACAGGGAGGGTGATTTATCTACAGGAAGTGGCCTTCCAGATGGGTAGATTATACCAAGTGCAGATATGAGGCAATAAAAAGCCTTTTTGGAGGAAAAAACGTGATTCACAGTGAAATGTGAAAGAAGTAGGATTTGCAGAGATAATGAGTGACTTTCACTTTTTACTTTCTACCATGAAAATAAAAGAACAGTGGGACAGAAAAGAAGTTAAGAAAAAAAGTCAAGTCAAGCTAATTGAGACTGAAGAACCCCAAAACAAGGACAGGAAAACATGATGGAAAAGAAATTCAAGGTAAAACGGGTAAGATGAACTTTTGGGGCACTGACAGATGGCCAAATGGGAATTTACTGAAGTGGTACTAAAGTTTAGCAGAGAAGAGGGTTTACAATAGAACTTGAGAGCTTTCTTTTTTGGGGATTATTTAGCTCAAGGGTTCGTACACATGCATTTATTCTTCCTATACTAGTAGGTCAAGAGCTGTGGTATTTAGAAGGTAAAAGGTTCACTAGTTACTGCATTGAAGGGTTGATAGGAGGATTAAGTAAATATGAAATGCTGGGTATGTGCATAGTCAACTCTCAGTGAACAGTTCAGTTCTGTCCTTGGGAACTGATTACAGAAGGTGGTTAGACAACATTTAGTCAAAGCAAGAGCAGGAGAGTTGAACTAAGGTGGTATAGGTCAGAAAAGAAGGGAAAGAAAGCACTCAATGAAGAAATGGCTCCAAGAAGGAAGGAGTGCCGAATTCAGTAGTGAGAAGAGGGAATCTGAAGATGGCTGTGGATGATCTTTAAGAAAGCAGTTTGGAAAGTAAGAAGGGGAGTTACAATGCAGGGGCTCAGGAGGAAGCATGGGATGAAGAAACTTTACTATAGCAGTGGGGGTTTTTGTGTTTGTTTGTTTGTTTGTTGAGACAGGGTCTTGCTATGTAGTTCAGGCTGGTCTTGAAGTCACTGTGTAGCCTAGACTGTCCTCCAACTTGTGTGATTGTCCTGCCTTAGCTTCCCAAATGCTAGGATTACAGGTGTGTGTCACCAAACCCAGTACTATAGAAATTTGAAGAAAATAGGAGAATACTTGCCTGGTGGTGGTTAAATAAAAATTTCTCTTCCCCTAAGGTAGGGGACAATTATGCTAAGATGTATAATCAGTGGAAGAAAATCGCCTCTTTGAGCCTAGAATAATCAACTTCTACTTTATCCAAATAGAAACCACCCAGGGACTGAGCTCAAGTTCTTAAATTAAGAATACTAAATTAGTGTGTTCACCAAAGTCCTAAGTAGCCTGCTCATTCTGCCACCTTCCCAAATCATGTGACTTTTCTCACACCCAGAGCCACTGTGACCTGAGTGTTCTGTCACCTGATGACAGCCAGCAAAGTAGTCACTGCAGTCACTGCAGGTGTGTAAATCTACATACAGATTTGAAATTCAACCTTATGTTCCTCTCATTTATTCACTGCTACTTTTCCATCCTCTGGTGGTTCTGCTAGTGCTTCGAATCATCGTCCCCCAAATAATACACCTGATTTTCTTTATTTTTCTCTCCATGTGTTTTTTTTTCCCTACTTGACTTTTAGGCCCTAAACATAGGATTTTAAACACTTTTCTCCCCCCTCCTCCCCATTTAGTACAATATTGTTCTTATTAAGTAGAAAAAAAGAAAAGAAAAAATAACACCATATATATAATATATCTATATATATATATCTGAGGAATTTCTCACCTTTTTGCCATTTCCTCCCGAATCTTAGTTATTTCTGCCATCATTTCACTTTGTGAGGGCAATGTCTTCAGCCCTAAAGAGAAAAAAATTAAACATTTAAGTGTAAAATTAACTTAGTAGAAATAATAATCCTATTAGTAGTAATCATTATGACCTGGAGAATTCAAAAAAGTACAGGATAATTTTCTGAATGCTGTAATTCACTTGATCTCTGTATCCCACCACCACCAAAATATGATACAAGATGAACATTCCTAATCTAAACATCAGAAATCTGAAATGCTCCAAAATCCAAAAGTCTGAGCAATGACAAGATGTCACAGAGAAAATTCTACCCCTGATCTCATCTCATGTAACAAATCATAGTCAAAACACAGGTACAGTAAAACTATTGTAAAAATTATCTTCTGGTTATGCATATAGGGGATACGAGAAATAAATCAATTTCACCTCTCCCCAAGATATTATGTATATGCAAATATTCAAAATCTGAAAATAATCTTAAATCCAAAACTTCTGGTGTTATGCATTTCAAATGAGAAATACTCATCTGTATCAGTACATATACCTTACTGTATTTTTCTTTGTCTTTGGGAAATAGTTTTTGTTCTATTCTGTCTTACAACCAACTCACTTTCTGTCTTACATAATCTTTCAACTGGGGAATGAAATGTGGACATGAGCAAAGGATAAATGGTCTTAAAAGTATATGAAAAATGAGGCACAATGCAGTCAAAAGCAGGGAGTGACAGGCATACCTGCACTGGTATCTATTGATAACAGAAAGGTGGTTTTGGGGTTTTTTGTTTTGTTTTGTTTGTGGTACTAGGGGTTGCACCTGGGGCCTTTACACTGAGTCATATCACCAGTCCTTTTTAAATTATCATTTTGATATAGAGGCTCGCTAAGTCATTAAGTTGCCCAGACGAGGCTCAAACTTGTGGTCTTTTCTGCGACAGTCCACCAGGTGCTGAGACTACAGGCATATGCCACCATGCCTGGCCACAAAGAGGTTTTACACCACAGGAGAGAAGGAAACAAAGATAAACTATCATACTGTTTGCTAAAGTCCTGTAGAAGATAAGCCTCACCCTCTAAACTCTTACTTGATAAGAGTGTGGTTAAAGCCAAGGATAACTCATCACACCCAGTCAGGACAGATAAGTTTCAGCAGTGACATACGGTTCAAATAGTAGGAAATTAATACCGAGGAAACAGCTAGACAAAGGCCAAATAGCATTTAAACCAATATAAACAACTCCAGCTCAAACAATTGCCCTTATGCCCAGATATGTAGGTACTATACATACTACGTAGAAGAGTTTAACCATGTCTGATCCTAAAGTGTTCTGAAACATAGGATTTCAGATTGGAAATATGTCTTACATAATACAATCCTTGTCTCTGAAATATTCGTGTCAAGTAGTTATCTCATTCTTCCTTAAGCATCTTTGGGCATGGGGATTTCATTACCTTCTAGGGAGCCAGTGATATGTTTGACTGCCCTATTTGCTAGAACATTATTCCTTGAATTAATCCCCAAATCTACTTCTATGCAACTTGCACCACTGGACCTCACTGTGTCTTCCTCAGTCAAAGAGTGTAATATGAACACTTGAAAGGCCCTGAAACATGTGAAAACAACTGTCACAATTCCGTTTTCTTCTCTTTCCAGGCTACACAGCACAAGTTTCCTGTATAGCACAGGTTTCACATTCTCTGCCATCTTTTCTTTTTTTTTTTTTTTTTTTGAGACAGGGTCTCACTATGTAGCTGAGACTGACCTGGAACTCATTATGTAGCCCAGGCTGCTCTCAAACTCACAGCAATCCTCCTGCCTCAGCCTTCAGAGTGCTGGGATTACAGGCGTGTGCCACCATGCCTGGCCTCCGCCATCTTGGTTACCCTTTTCTGGACATGCTCTGATAATTCCCAGTGAGCCCCTCCTAACATGCCAGACTCAGACATTCAGCATTCAAAAATAGCTTTCTGTTGGGCCAGGGGTATAGCTCAGCGGCGCAGCACCTGCCTGGCAAGCACAAGGCCCTGAGTTCTATCTGCAATACCAAAAAAAAAAAAAAAAGCTTTCTGTGTTACTTGTGTTTTTTTCATTTTAGCCATGGAATTATTATTTATATCTATAAATGAAGAGTCACAGATACTTTATTCAGAGTAATCACAGGAAACTTTTTTGGGGGGGTTTAGATGCTCAAAAAACACATTTTGAGATTGATTTCCAAGTTACTTCTCATAGTTCAACCATAAGTTTTACTTTTATTAGCTAGAAATACCATGAAGGAGGTCTAGTTCTTTGGCTGGGAGAGGCAGCCAGTTTAAAAGAAAGGAAGAAAGAAATAATAGCAGATCTGTGTAGATTAGACAGACAAAGATGTGTACAGTATTTTCTAGTGCAGTTCCCTCTTACTCCATTAACTCTGTTACTGCACTGTTTCCTTGTTTTCTAGTACTAATTTTGTGTTGGGCCCAGATAGGGTCACATGTACTGTGGTATCTGTAGCTCTTTACAAGAAATTACATAAGCACAATCAAACATACCGCCAAGTACTTAAGTCATCAACTTGTCACATTTATTTGTATTTTATTTTATTTTTTGGTACCGGGGATTGAACTCAGGTCCTTGCGCTTGTGAGGCACGCGTCAGAACCAGTGCGCTAAATCCCCGGCAGTCACTTACCTTTAAATACTTGAGTAGCCCAGCGTCCTTGGAGCTCTGCAATGGGCATAATGGCTCCAAGGGGCTGTATCAAGCCTATGATTGCAAGAGTTGGCCTTTCCAGGTTAGGGGGGAAGACCTTTTTATACAGTGACACCTTGTTTTTCACCACGTTGACAGAATCTTCCAGAAAAGGAAAGGCAAAACTATAGCCTGTGGCAAAGATAACAGCATCGATGTCATCTTCCCTGGAGCCATCCTCAAATATGGCAGCTGTCTCTGTGAATTCCTTCACATTTCCTTTCACCTTCACCATGCCAGCTATTATGCGATTTGGCAGGTCATCATTTACCGTTGGGTGCTGGCTCAATGCTCTGTGAGTGATGATAAAGATGAAAAGAAGGAAAAATGAAAATGACCCAAACAAAGGGACAGAGAATGGGGGAAGAGAGAAAGAAATCAGTAGTATGTGAGTAAAATTCCACTTTGGTGGAGATAGTTAAGCAATATCCCATCATCGATCCATAACATTTTGGAGAGGTCCTACTTTATGTCTGCCTGGCACAGATCCAGATCTCAGGAACAGTTTGGATCCTGGGTGGCATTCAAAGGGAGAATATTGGAGAAGTGAAAGAAGAACAGTTTTATAATGTGGTTTCTCAAGTAATAGTAATGTTCTTTGGTATGATAAGGCCATATGCTGATAGTTTCTATCCATATATCAAGCAGTCTGGCAGAATATGAACATTTTGTTCAGTCCCATTTCCAGTTCTAAAGGCCCAAGAGGTAGACTTAAGACAGTCATTGTCTACACCATATAATAAATTACACATATAGAGCAACTTAGAGTTTAAAATTTTCTTTTCTTTTTTGAGACAGGGTCTCATTCTATAGTTCAAGTTGGCCTTGACCTCATTATTGTAGCCTGTGCTAGCCTTGAATTTGCAGCAGTCCTCCTGCTTTAGCGCCCCAAATGCTGGGATTACAGATGTGCACCAGCACACCTGGCTTATCTCAGACTTTTTGGGTTTCACACATGATCAACCTGGAAATGTATTTAGTCACTCTTCCACTTTTGCCTTGTTGTCTAGGTATACAAGATTATATTCAGCTGTAGAAATTTGAAAATGTCAATATTTTTGTAGCACATTTTAGCAGTATTAAATTTCCTACAGTTATAGGAGAATGCCCTTTTTCCTAGGTGACAAATACTTAGGCATGTGTCTTAGTGATTACAACTTTCTCTAAAAAGGTTTATGTCCTTAAGTTTATGTGTGGACCTATCTATATTCCCAAAAGGGGAGAGAGAAAATTCAAATTGAGCAAGCTGTTATAATAGGCGAACTCCAATAAAAGCTATATGGGTATTCCTTGTACTTACTATTGTGCAACTTTTCTATAGTTCTGAATATTTTCAGAAATAAAAAGTTGGACAAAATAACTCAACCTCTAGAAATGCTTTTACGATTTTCCTCCCTAGTGCTGTGAGGACATCATCCCTAATACTCTCAGTATATTCTATGCATCGTGATCCTATTCTGTTGTCTTTCTTTTTGTTAGTAAATTTAAGATGAGATTCTTTTCTGGAATCTGCCTTTCACTGCTTTTGTTGACCTTGGGCAAATTACTTACTTTCTCTAAGTCTCAACATTTCATCTGTAAAATGGACATAAAAATTGTACCAGTCTGAGGGGTGTTGTAAGGATTAAGTGAAATGTTACCCATAACTCTTTTAGCACTATGACTGTCTTATAGAAAATCAGCAAAAAGTTAAGGTATTATTCCTATTATGGTATCACTACTATGCCTCTTCCCTCTGTATTTTATGCCCAAGATAAATGCCTCTCTCACAACAGTTGCCCAATATTTATTGAATGAATCAATGTGGCACTGCCTTCTACTACCATTTTGCTGTTGGGCATCCTATAAAAAGAACTGTTATCTGGGGGAATAAGAAAATGGTTAATGCCTAGGAGATGATAGACTGAAAACCTACAGACCATCAGAGCTTGGTCTTCTGTGGCTGAGAAGGTAAACATCTCAAACCATTAGGAGTCTATGAGCTTTCTTCTGTATAGGTAGAGGTAGTTGTACTTTTAGCCTGTGTTAACAGTACTTATTTTTGTGTTTTGGCCATGAGCATCCCCACTCTTGTCCAGAGAACATACCTGTGTTTAGGTTTCAAGCCAAACAGCTCATGGTCAAATCTTTCAGTCAGTCGTTTTTCCAAAAGTGTATTTGCTAATGCTTCACCACACATTTTGAACAAAAAATGTGAAAGCCGAGAAGAGATCAACACATCGATGGGATATCCATGGCTTCCTACACGATTCAGGATCCATGCCCCTCTCCTGGTACTGAGGAAAACCTGAGGCACGGGAAACATTGTTTGCTTTTGTCACTTTGGCTTATAATACTTCCAAATCACCCCCACTTTCTTTAAGATTAAGCTCAAACTGGGGCAAGGGATTCAGCTCAGTGGTGCCGCTGCCTGCCTCACAAGCACAAGGACCCAAGTTCAATCCCTGGTATGAAAGAAAGCAAAAGAGAGAGAGAGAGAGAGAGAGATATTAAGCTCAAACTCATTAGTCTGGCTTTTTAATCCTGTACAATCTTTTTATAAAAATCACTGAAAATTTCCTTCCTGAATATTAACCTTACAATTAAATTGGTATATTCATTGTCCAAGAATATATCATGCTTTGATCCACCGCCGAATTTCTGTTCAGTACAATTATACCTGAAATGCGCTCCCTCCTCTTAATCTTCTTAAGCCTATTCATTTTTAGGATCCAGATCGAACCTGTCTCCTCCATGAGGGTACCGCTGACCTTTCAGGGTGATAATTTTCTCTAAATCCTTCATTCTCCAAACTACCACTCACAGAATTCATTAAAAATCATGGAATAGGAGAGTTAAAAGCAAATGAACATTACTTAATCCAAAACCCTCAGTCTTTATGCCATCAACATTGCATTTACTACCAAAAAACCTCTTGTTAATTATTTACAGTGGACCCTTGACTTGCAAACTCAATAGATTTCCAAGGGCCGGGTGTAACTCAAGTTGGTTGTAAGTCAATATAGCTGAGATCTGGATGTTTATTCAGGTATACACTATAGATAACAAGAAGCAGACGAATCTTACATTAACCTAATTAACCCAAGTTATTCATATGTCAGGTCAGTCATAATTTGAGGGTCCACTGTACATCAATGTGAAACTTTCTATGCTCTTAGTTTCTGTCCCTTCCAATGTGTATTCTCCAGCGTGGGAGCACAGACTGTACATCTTTTAGTCTCCCCACCATATTACTATTACTTCCATTTACTGAGATTTGTGCACTAGAACTCACTGTAGTGAGTCCTGCATTCATTCTTATTTAACCAACACAACAGCCTCCTGAGGAAGCCATTGTCAGCCCTAGCTTATGGATGAGAGGTGTGGAGAGGATGAGCATAACTGGAGATTGTAAGCGGCAAAGCTGAATTTCCAACAATGTCTCACTGACTCCAGGACCTTTACTTAAGAAATATTGTATTGATATCTAATGAAAAAAATTAAAATTAATAGTATTGCAGGAAACTGGTCAGTCTTTCTGTGTCTTCTGTTGACTAAAGTTCATGCTCAAAACTGATGATTTGTCATTCAGTTACCTGCCAAAAGTATCATTTTTTTCTATAATAACACTTTGGAGGTGGTTTCCAGAGTTGTGAGGCATATAAGTATATTGCTCTATGATCTTTTGTCTTACCATGTAAAAAGATGTCCATCTACAGAGGAGGGATAATTCTTTGCTTCACACATACTGCTCACCGACAGTAACTTTACCCTCTATCATAATTGTTTTTAATGTCAGAGTTGAAAGAGCATACATAGTCTTAGTAATCAAGCAGTTTGGTGTACAGGCTGTATAACTTTTGATGAGTAAAGTAAACAACAAGAAAAAACTATGAGGGCCCAGGGATTTAGCTCAGCGGTTCAGTGGCCTGCCTTGCAAGCGCAAGGACCTGAGTTCAATCCCCAGTACAAAAAACAAACAAACAAACAAAACAACAAAAAAAGAAAAATCTATTATAAACCAAAACAAACAAACCAATATACCAAGGAGATAGAAACTGCTTTAGAGTCATTGTCATTCTGTGTTACCTAACTATGCAAGGACTGGTGTAAGCTGCTTGTATGTACCACACTGTGGGTGCTCTTTATACTGATGGCCACATTGTCTTTTGAAAGATAAAAGAGTCTTTTTACCATTCAGAAAGTGAAAAGGAAAATTCACCCACCATCCTGTGAGTGAAAAGTTTTCAGTGACCATAGTGTACTTTCCTTTACATAAGAACATGGCGCATCTTTTGGCCAACAAAAGATCCGTACTGAATTCTACATCCTGACAATCTCTCCCAGGAATGATTTGGTTTTCATTAAAGCCACAGGTTAACTGGCATCACGAGTACAGTCTGCATTCATGAACTAATTCCTTAGCATGAGGCCAGCTGAATGATGGAAATCCAACTGGTGCCTATGGCTGCTCCATGAGCGGTGCTCATGATAACTGAGGTAGTGAAACCTTGCCTTGTATGTGCCCTTCACACAGTGGGGCTAGGTACAGGTCTTATAGTCTTCGTTGGGTCTACTTTCTTGGTAAGATTAAAGCTAGAGCAAAGCAAACTAAGTCACTTATTGATCCAAACCTGCTTGGCTGTGTGGCTAATCTCTACAGCCAGATCCCCTCCAGAATTCCCAATGCCAATGATAACAACCCTCTTTCCAGTGAATCCCTGTGGGCTCTTATAGTCTCGACTGTGGAAGTACTGTCCTTTGAATTTTTCAATTCCTGTAAGAGAAGAGAAAACAATTATTGGGTGATGGCTTATATGATGGATTTCATTTACCAAGTTACTTGTTTTCTCGTTTTGGGTTTTTCCCCCACAGTTTAAAATTTATGCATTCTGTATAAATTCTCCCTTTATCCTTCTATTCTCTTGCTTTTCTGAACATTTTGGCTAATTTGCTGCTCTCACAGTTTCAGAATAGGACTTTTGATACCCTTGTCATAAGTAGATTTTGGATTTGCTCTCACAAATCCAAATTGTTTCAGAAAATTTCCATTCTGTTTTTTTTAATTCCTTTAAATACCCGTTCCTGTTTCCATTTCACTTAGAATATATATATATATGTTTGCATATTCCCAAGTTCAAATAGAGTGTATTTTTAAAAAAATGAAAATCTAAGCCAAAAGCTGAAATTAAATCCTTCAAGCTTTCATTTCACCCTTAGGAACGCAGTGTTTCTGTTTTTTCAATGGCTGAGAAACTCCTAGCCTGAACTAATGCTCAGCAAAAACACTAGTTTTTCTTTGGATCTTTAGGAAAACTAGCTTCATTGCAAAACTGAAGACATTCCTATGTCATTTACAGGGATTACTGATATTCTAAGAAAGGTTTGATAGTATCGATAAAGTTGATAAGTTGATTTTATCAATGTGCAAACATTATAGATGTACTTATACAAACTTACGCCACAGATCGAATCAAGAGACATAGTAAACGTGACTGTTGTGGTGTGACATGGTGCAAAGTTTTTTATAAGGAGGAAGGGTACACTGTAATGATTAGTATAGGAAGTAGACCAGTATGAGTATTATATACCATACATAATTTCTGTGTTCTAACTGTACACACTGACGGTGCAGGTTTGCATACACCACCGTCACCACACACACGTGAGTGATGTTCTTTGTGCTCTGGTACTACAACAGGCAATGGGAGTTTACAGCAACATTACCCTCTTATCACATTGTATAGGCAGCCTTTCATGGACTGAGGCAGCATTGTGTGGCACAACTATAGATAGAGCTCTAATTTTCCTCTCATTTCCACAAAGACCATTGTCTCTACACCCCAAGTGGCAATAACACAAGTCACCGTGGCATCTTTCAAGCGTTCAAGGGTCTTTCATACTGGTAGTTTTCTCACCAGGAAAGCTTTCCAGGGGTAGGTGAGCATTGGTGTGATGGCCGGTGCAAACCATGACTGCGTCAAAGACGTCCTTCTTCGTTTTCCCTTCGTGCTCAGTGACCACCTCCCATTGACCCGATGTAGAGAAATCAGGCTGCTTCTTCACACTGAGCACAGAGGTCTGAAAGGAAAAATGACGGTCACAGGGGCAGTCACTGCAGCCCATGCAGCAGACATCTTCCCTGACATGACTCCCTGCAGAACCCTACTCTGAGGGCTAATATCATAGGCACCGCCCCATAGGGCTCCTGAAGGGATATTTGGGTTTCATAAAGAACTGTTCTGCTTTGGGGCTGTTCTTTGAGTGAGAAAACTTCTATGAGGCCGAATAAGTAAAACAGAGTTGGCAAACTAATGTACTCTCCTCTGCTTCTAGAAAAGTGCAAGTTGCAAGTGTCTCTTGGACCATGCACTCAGGCACTGCGATGCCTAAGTGAGGCCTCGGTTTCTTCTGTGCTTTGGTGACTCTGTGCCCCACACGCCTATTTCTCTGCTAACTTCACATGCCGGAACCCTCTGGTTTCTTCTTACCCCAGTCCTGTTCTCACTGGTTACCCCTAAACACGTGACTGAGATACAGAGCTCCCATGCCTGTTAGAGTAGGAAAACTTCTCAGGAGCTCTCATTTTATGTAAAGGAATCTCTCATTGGCTTCCATACATTCCAATCTTGTAAATAACTGTAAAGAAAGAAGCTGTGAGATAGGACAGTCAGTGATACAGATTTTCTCTCTCAAAGAAAACAAATAATAAACACGTGTTGCTCTACTCAGAATATATTCTCATGTGGACTAATAGAGACGCCACCTCTACCCTAGCCTTCCTGCACTATTGGTACTTCCTCCTGACTGTGATTTTACACAGGCCGGCACTTCTCCCTGGATCACCCTTTCAGTCCTTCATTTAGCAGATGCCTGCGCAGTCTTCAAGACTCAGCTTGGACCTCATCTCCTCTAAACACCTGCCCTAAGCCCGATGCCTCATGTTCTCCCTCAGGGGCTGACCATCCCTCTAGGAGCTGTGATGTAAAGACCTCTTAGCGCTTACCACTCTGTAACTCTATTTTTATTAATTACATATCAATACATATTAAGTACATTTTTCTTTCTTCCCAACTAGATTGTAGAATTACTGATTTTTTTTGGGGGGGGCTCTCATCTTCCCTGCTTACTACAGTAACAAACTTATTCCAGAAGTATTGCTGAAACAAGTGAAGAGAAGCACCACTTGGCTGTAAATGACTTGACTTTGGAAGGTCCCATGGTCATAAGGCAGGAGGTTTGAGCTTTTTTCCCACTGTGATAAATATCTTCTTTTATGGCCATGGTTATGAATTATAGAAAAATTATGGAAGACTGTAGAGCAGTGGTGGTGAACTTACGGCACGTGTGTTGTGTTTTTATTTTGAGATGAAACATGTTAATGTAGAGTTTTTGCTAAACTAAAACCTCAGTATTCAGGTTTAATTGCAGTGCACTTGGTGATAAATAAGTGGGTTTGGGGTTGTAGTTTGGCACTCAGTGTTTAAAAGGTTTGCCAACATGCTTCAGAGCATGAAGAAATCAGGAGTGATCTAATACAGTCACACTGTTTTTCAAACAAGGAAACTAAGACAACTTGAGGTTGAGAAACTTATGAGTCTAAGATCACACGTTAATTTGTGGTGGAACCAGGACCAGAATTCAGGGTTTTGTTCCCCAATGCAGTATTCTTTTCCTCAGTAACCTCCTAATAGTGACGTCACTGGGTTGTGGTGCTATTTACATAAAATAATTTATTGGAAATTGCTTAGGAAAGTAGAGCTAAGGAATAGTGGACAAGTAGAACTAGAAGATTTTAAATTTCTATATGTATCAGTTCCCCTCATCTGTTTTATTATAATCAAATAGTGGCTTCCTTTATCTGCAGCCAAAATATATAAGAGAGAGACCTTTCCATGGATAATTTTCAGGTACAGAGAAAGCAAAGAGTAGAATTACTGTGTGGGTAGGATATGTGTGTGTTGTGTGTGTATGTGTGTGCGCATATCAAGCCAATTTTTACACTTTTGCACTGGTAAATGAAGCCACGTTATTCATCTAGCCAATGAATGACTTCAAGGACAGAGCCACCTGCAAAATTCCTTACCTTGAACTGAATATACTTTAGAAGGCCAAATTCTTTGGCATACATCCTGAAATATTCTAGGACATGTGAGTTGTGCATGAAATTAGGGTAATGATCTGGGATCGGATAGTCACTGAAGCACATCATCTCCTTAGAAGTATTGATGATCACTGACTTGTAGATACTGGCCCTTCCTTCTTCGGGATTTTCCTGTAGTGCAAAAGAAAGTATTTCTGGCAACCTGAGAATTCCATTTATAACTTGTAAGTAGACATATACATTTGAAAAAGTATTCTGAAAGAAATGCTAATTTCAACAAAAACTTCTTGAGTTCACACACACACATGTGCACACACACACAACCTTCACACCTTCCCATACTTGTACCCTCTGTAGTCCCTTCCCCTTGAATCTGAGTATCTTTATTACACTGGCATTCAGTGACTTCCAAGGTTAAGCCATATGATATGCAGTCTTGCAGCTTCTGCCTAGATCTCACAGAAGGCCCGCTCTAGTGTGAGCTGGCAGCCATACAAGAAGTCCAGCTACACTGAGACCACTGAGGGAAACCTGACCTACGCACGTGAAGACAATATTGGGCATAGAGGAATATTCAGCCAGCCCTCGGAATGCTACCTGTCCCAGCCAAAGTTCTAAACATGAAAAAAGACCATATCAGCACTTGGGAGGCTGAGGCATGAGGATCGCTGTGAGTTTGAGACCAGCCTGGGCTGCATAGTGAGTTCCGGGTCAGTCTCAACTACATAGTGAGACCCTGTCTCAAAAAAGAAAAAGAAAAAGGCCATATCAAATGTGTAGTCTGAGATTCCACAAACCACAGTTTCAAATCCATTATAATTCTTAACCCTTCCTAGAGTATGGAAAATCACCTTAACCAATTAGGACTTCATCCCTCCTTTTTAAACAAAATAAACAGATTTTGAAATACTGGGGATTGCAAAACATTAAATGGCCAAAAAAGAGTGTCTGTTAGATTCATCCATACTCAGGCTTATTTTTCTCCCTTTTTTATTGAAGAATTTAGTCTAACTAAATTGATCACTCCCATTTCTGAGCCCCATAACTCAAGTTCTCAATTTTATTGACCTTTAAAAACATTTTATGAGTATCCTCTCAAATCTCTTTTAAACTATCCCATCTATTTCAACCAAAATATTTGAAGTTGTGACTGTATAACTGCCCCAATTAAAATCTTAGATGTTGCCTCATTTCCAACAAAATTCCCATTTCTCAGCTTAAGACTCAAAAACCCCTGTCTCATAAAATATCTTGCACCATATTCCATGTCTCCCCTATTAGACTGGCAAGCTCTTTGAACTGGCTTTCTCTAGAGTATTTAAATTCAGTAAATGCTTAATAGATAATATTTCAAATTATATTGAGAAAGGTATGGACAGAAAAAAATAAATTTCACATGCTACCTAACAAATTAATAAAATGCAACAAAATTTATTTCAAATGAGTTGGATAAGATACATTTAGCACAGTCCCAAAACTTTCTATGGAAGAATGCAATAGTTCATATTTTTGGCTGCACACTGACCAAAGATTATTGTCAATTAGAGTTCTGTATTCCCCCAAACGGAGCCAAGATGCAAAAGGATTGTATTTCTATTCAAGTAAAGGATGCCATAAACCCACTTTTAAGTAGTTAGCCAATACTGTGTTTTTATGAGATATGAAGTACACCATGGCACCTCAATACCATTCCTATCAGAAAGTGAGTAAAAAAGCAAGCAATCACACGCCCATCTGGAGATCAAGGAAGGCAGATAGGTGACACTGTGACACTGGGCAAGCATAACTATAATTAACTAGATAATTGAATAAAATTGTTACAAGTTGCAGGGCTGGATGTGCACATTAAAACAATTCAACTTTAAGTCTGAGATGCATGCGCAGGAAAAGTAAATCCAGGTGCAAGTGCCCTCTGCCCTCTTAAGGCAAAGGACTTTATACTTTTCAAAGGTTACAGATTGAAAATGGGAGATCCCTGGGAGGAGCTGTGAGCAGATAATTCTAACTCATTTACCTATTAATGCAGAACTGGAACAACCACTCTAAATGTTCTAACTCCGATACATTTCTAATGCTGTTGTTTTGTTAGCCCATTCATATCTCCGTGGTTTTACAGAGACAATAAAAAAGAGAAAACAAGTGATTCCTGTGTTGAATTTTGTCACCCAGCAAAAGAGAAAGTTGCCTAAAACCCGAGGGACTGCTGCGGACAAGAGGTTAGCAGGCTGCAAACAAGCCGGTTTATTCTCGCTCAAGCTCACAGGTCCCCTGCACTCACTGTAGGGAAGGCTTCCAGAACCAAGGGGCCAGGAGGCTTACCTGGTACCTCCAGAGCCCTCCGATGTCAGAGCTCCTTTCAAAGCACACCGGCTCCAAGCCCTCCTCCAGACAGCACTTGATGGACGAGAGCCCGCTCGCTCCGCTGCCTATCACGGCGACCCTTTTCTTGGTCATGGTCTCCAGAGAGCTTCACCTGGCCGGGGCAGGATCGCCTGTCCTACAGAACGACAGAAGACAGCTCACCAGTCACACCTCTCCAGAAGGAGACAGCCAAGGCACCCAGGTACTGCAGGTGCTGAGCGAGGAGCATTTGGGGCTCTGGGGAAACCGCCTTCCAGCTCAGCTTGCTCTAAACAGAAAGCAATCGGAGGGCCTGGGAGCTCTGCCAGGTACCTGATCTCGTCGACTTTGCAAGAGCTTCCCAGGATCCCGGCTGTGATCTGACTTTGGGTTGCTATCACAAATATATAAACTCGCAACAGCAGCGGTAGCCAATGCGAAGCCTCGGCCCGCCTCGCTTCCTGCCAGCAGATGCCAGCCTACTCCTCCGCTCGCATTTTTTTCTCCCCACCCCGCCAGAAAACGTGGGTGGAGTCTGCTTGGCACAGTAAATAATGATAATAATAAATATACAGCGTCTTCCCATTTCGGTTCCCGTTTCCTACTCAAGGGTAGCCCCTGTAGCCCTCCATCTCCTCCCTCCCCAACCAGGCTTCACTTTGAACTTCCTGTTTCTGCCTTAAAGCATTAAGTTACTGCTGGTGAAGCGAAACTGTCAACTTCCACGCAAGCCTTGCTCCAACTGCCTAAAAGCAGAAAAGCAACCTTTCCAGGGAGCTGTTTCAAGAGCTGGCCCTGCTAAACCCTGTTTCACCTCCCTGCCGACTTCACGACTGGTCTTTGGACTTCGGCTCTGTACTACTAGCAGGGATTTACTTTAAAATTAAGCCTTTTGATTCCCGTTAAACCTTTTGAAAATCTTTCCTCCATGCATTGAACTGAGTGCTGAAGAAGGAATGGATCACGCTTCCTACGGACAGGAGTTTACAGTTTAGTGGAGGAGACCAGTGTATACACAGTAATTTCAAGAAAATAAAAATACTTTTAAAAAGTGATTTCGCTCACATAGTTATATGAATGAGTGGTTAGAAACAGAAAATGCCCACTTCTAAAAGATAACTCAAAAATTTCAACTATAAAATCACACAGAACTGACAATGAAACAGATACAGGGTTTCCTGCCCTGGGCCTCCCCAGCCCAGGCTTTCACTTTGACCAGTGGACTGTGGACTTGTGGGTTTACTTCATATGCTTCAAAAGGTTTTATGGGAATCAGCCCATTGTATTCTCCCAGCAACCCCAGGAGGCAAGTAATATATGATGGCTCCCATTCCATTTTTTCAGGAAAATACAAGCACAGAGAAGCTAAGTAAACTACTGGAGATTGCACAGCAAATCCTTGCAAAGGCAGGGACACAAACCAGGCCAGCCTGGCTCCAGGCCTGGGCTCTCACATACTGTTCTTGAATAAGGTTGTTTTTACTTCATACTTAGGCGCAAGTCCTTCTACCATTTTTCATCTTTCCATTGCACTTTTCTTTTTGCCTAACTCCTTCCTTTGTACTTTTACATTTTTGTTGAATTGCTCTTAGTTGAACTATAGCTTGCCTTACTTCAAAAACTTTAAAACCCATTTAAACACAGGTCTTTGGCTTGGGGAATCATTTTATTCCACTAGGACGATTCCAGCTCAATATATGGTCTACATCGTGTGTCCAATCTGTGATCCCCTCATTTTTTTCCCTCTTGTAAAAACTGTTGTAACAAAAACAATTTTAAAAGGAAGAGTTGTACTTATATTCATTAACTACATTATAATATCTTACATGCAACTCAAGACAATTCCTCTTCACTCAAAAAAACCCTTTCTTAAGTTTTTTTTTTTTTGGTACCGGGTATTGAACTCAGGATCTTGTGCTTGCAGAGCTCCCTTTAATTTCAACTCTAAATTCTATGGAAATGTAGTGTGATAAGCTTGGGTTTTCCCAGCCAGCTGCTAGAATCTTCTATTTTAGTCCCTAATAACTGGAATAAACTTACATTTCAAAAGCCTATCTTTTTGACAAGTGGATTCTTCACGACACTACCAAGATTCTTCTGTCACCTAAATCTCAGGTGGAACCGTCCTGTTTATCTTACATGGTTTATGGAATGTTGGCGAAGGCAGACAGATATTCTTTCAGTTGATGAGTATTTGGACCAAATGAAGACTCAGATCTGAACCTGAAAGAGGCTACTGCATGTCACCCAGAGGTCCTACGAGCTGGATATAAGAGCAGGGAGGGTTTGCGATTGTCTTCCTGGGAGTGAGGATAGTTGTTCACTAAAACCCATCCTCTTCTTACAACATAATATTTTGCTCTCCAATAGGGCTGCCCAGCTACGCATAACCTTATAACTAAGTTCTCACCCAGGAATGCAAGAAGCAATATGAGCCATTTTTACCTGACCTGGTTAAAAGGAAATGACTTGTCCTGGTTTTCTATTCTTTTTCCCTTTGTGTAGCTTGGAATGCTAATAACCAAAGACCTTCGGAAACCCTACGTTGAAGCTGGTAGATCCACCCTTAGGTAGGTTCGCTATGTGACTGGATTTGCTTTCCCAAACCTCCTAATCTTAGATTTAAATGTCACAGATGACTGCTATTTTGTTTGTGTTGCCGAAGTGTTTAGTTTTCTTCAATTATAGCAACTTAGCCAACTCTAATATTCTTCGGACTTATGATGGCATTTAATAGACTGATATCAGAAAGGCTTTGAGTCATAAATGTGAACTTGTACTAGAATTGCATCTGTTAAAAATAAAACCCTGAAGAGTGTGTTTTAACACAACCATTTTACATAGAAAGTTAAACTTATTAAAAATTACTTGTAAATTAGAAAATTCTGAATGCATTAAAGGAGATGCTAATTAACAGAAAACTGGTGAATATTTTTGTAAACTGAATATTACTCCCTCCCTACTGGATCAGTTTTACTAATTCAGATTAATGTAGTAATTATTTTTAGAATTTAACCTTTTAAGATGTAATTCTATTTTTGCATTACTTCAGTTGTACTTTGTAATTACTTACTTTTGAATTTGACAAATATGTTTCCATAATGTTTTAAAATTACTTGGAAAATATTTTAAACAACAGATTGGTCCTACTCAGAACTAGGGAACTGATGAAAATGGGCATGCTGAAGAGATATTTATTAAGTCTTCACAGTGAACAATTTATTAAAATTGTACCTTCCTTTTTCTCAGCAATCCTCTTGCAATACTTTCTTTCTTTTCCATTTTTTTTGAGACAGGGTGTCACTATGTAGTTGAGACTGACCTGGAACTCACTCTGCAGCCCAGGCTGGTCTCAAACTCACAGCGATCCTCCTGCCTTAGCCTCCCGAGTGCTGTGATTACAGGTGTGGGCTACCATGCCTAGCTTCTTGCAATACTCTCTACAGAAAAAGTTGCACACATGCATAAACAAAAATGTTGCAACTAGTGTCCAGCGTCATACCGTATAGACTCTACCACTAACTAGTTTTCTGGCCGTAGGGAAGTTAACATTTTTGTGCTTAGTTTATTACCTGTAAAATGAAGAATAGGATATTACCTATCCCATAAGTTTGCTGTGAGGAAGAAAGAAGGTAAAACACAAAATCAGAGCTTATTAAGTATTAGCTGGTACTCATAATGAAAAATTTGAAATGACTTCATATAAGTTCAAAATGAGGAAGGAATCTATTACCATGAGACTCTCAGACTTCTCAACTATATCCATCTATGTATATATGTATTGTGGATCTATATACTTTTTTTTTTTTGGTACAGGGATCAAAGTTGGGTTCTTGGGCTTATGAGGCAGGTGGCAGAACCACTGAGCTAAATCCCCAGCCCTTTATATACTTTTTAATTGAGATAAATTTAAACTAACATGGAAAGTTTGTATGGTTTTGTTGCAGAGGGTAAGAATAAACAAAGCAAGCATATTATAGCTTCATTTCATATACTAGAATATATCAAATCCATCCACATTACACTGGAAGTCCCATGACTAAACACCTAGATGCACAATCATCCTACGGCGAAGAAAGCAGATAGTTGGGAATAGCAATACAATCAACCAAAGCCAGTTATGCATGACTCTATCATTGAGAGGATATACTATGCTCAGGGTGTGTGTGTGTGTGTGTGTGTGTGTGTGTGTGTGTTTCTGTTTACCTTCACCATCCACATTTAAGGACCATGCAAATGGGAAAAAACATTATGCCTGTGGATCTCTCAAGATATCAAGATTACAATGGAACCTCAACAATGAGGGAAAACTCATTTCTTGAGTCTCCAATGGTGAGGTGCAGATACTTTGGTAGACCCCAAACTCATTCCCAGCTAAAGTTTTTGGTTATTCACAATACCTTGGACACTCACATTTGCATTAACCTGTGGGTGGGGATGCATGCCCATAATCCTACCACTCTGGGAAGCTGAGGGAGGAGGGCCACAAGTTCGAGCCCAGCCTGGGCAACTTAGCAAATTAGCAAGAGCCTGTCTCAAAATTAAAAAAAAAAAAAAAAACAATAAGGACTGAGGATGTAGTTTAATGTGAAGGCTCTAGGTTCAAACCCCAGTATGACAAAAGAGGAAAAAATTTCTTATGAAAAAATTCTTTCACTTTGTTTTCACAGCAGAATTATAGGATAGCTATAATTCTATATGCGATATTCTCACTAAAAAGCACTGTGTGTCATGGGCCTTTAAAGAAGTGGTCTCTGATTATTAAAACCCTCGGATTATGGAGGTTGCTGCATGGGCCAATTCTGAACAGTTTCAGGGGGTGGAGACGAAGAACTCCCTGGCTTAACATTACAGCTGTGCCTCAGGAACAGTTATTGTGCAATAGCTGCGCTCACTTTTCAAGCCTAAGACTCAAGTTTTGTGGGGTTAGGGCAAAGATGGTTTTGATTCTTATCAATCAGAGGAGGAGGAGAATTTCAGGGAGTTCTTAGGATTGTTGTTTTTGGTAGAGAGGTCACACTGTCAAAAGATATTTCAGTGTAGGGTGGATCATGAGAAACATTTTGGCTCCATTTGATTTTATTTATTGAGATACCATGCTCCTTAGGCGAACATATATCAGAAAAGGTAAACTCTAGAGTTGGCAAATTCAAAGGCCTCAGGGGCTAACTAGGTACATTGTATAAATGTTTTATTACTGGATGGAGAATAGAAAAGCCACAGGGTATGGGATTAATTTGACTGGCAAGGCATGGAGTCAAAAAGCATCCAATTGTAAGGGAGACAAATATTAATCTGCCAACCAAAAGGGCAGTGGGCCCATTTCAGTACAGAGCTTTCAGCTCCAGATCTCTATTCTCAGAATTACCTGAAAATGTCCCAGGGTTGTGTCCTTACCTTTGATACTAAAGGGGAAATAGCAGTTCTCTGAAGT